AAAAAAAAAAAAAAGATTATGAGTCTATATTAGCGGTATAAGAGTTTAAGTTCTAAAATAGTTCATTATCAATGGTTGAAATACATGGTGACTATTTTTCCTCTTTGAAGTAAAGACAAATATGACACTCTGCTATTCTTTTTTTTAAGCTAAAAGTAAGGCCCTGCTATTATTTTAGTGTCTTTTCCTTTATTACTAAACTTTAACCCCCAGATTTCTTGAACTGGTATCTTAAAGAATGACTTTAGCATTGTCACATTCCAAAAGGTTTTTAAAAATACTCTTTAAAAAAGGCACATAAAAAGCCTTTATTGTTCAGAGATATATTTTGAAATATTTATGGTTGTAAAAAGATTTGTCCAAGATTTGCTTTAAAATAATTAAAAGTGGCAAGGAAGTGGGTTGGTGGTATGGATGCAATAAGATTGGTAATGGTTGAAGCTTGGCAATGGTTCATGTGTTTTTGTACTGTTCTCTCTACTTCTGAATATGATTGAAATTTCCCACAGTAAGCTAAAAAATGAATAGAATCCCTATAGAAATTTAAATTGGACCCTATGAAATATAAATTTAAATTCTACCCTCAAAATAATATGTGAGATAGTCATGTTTTTTACTTTTGAACAAAATAATTTTGCTGTGTACAAATTTATATCTTAAGTAAATATGCTTGTTATGCAAAGATAAAGGTACGTTTGCAGCTGGGTGAGCACAGTCTATTATTAAAACTGAAAGCTTGTCCTTTTCTAAAGCTGATTAAGCTGAATGACTATATTGATAGTTCTCATTGTTTCAGGTAGTTCAGCAGCCTTCAGGAGGCATTGCAAAACAAGTGACCACACTTTCCCATTCCTCTGCATTGACCATTCAGAAATCTGGACAAAAGAAGATGCCAGTGAACACTGTAATACCTACCAGTCAGTTTCCTGCAGGTAGATGCTGGCCTATCTCAGCTCATCACACTGGGCTGTGAACTTTCTTGTTGTTCTGTTAAGAGAAGAGAGATTGGTCTTTTAAAGTTGGCAACTATGAAAGAAGACTACTTACTGCATTTTTCATATATACATTGTAGGTGTATGTGTTGTTTTATAATAAAAGAAGAAACTACTAATGACATTCTGTAATTAAATATAATAAATTATTAGGAAGTGAGGACTTTTTAAACAAAATTTGCTATATCCTTATTTCACCTTAAAATATAGTTGTTTCTCTAAATTTGGACATAAGGCCTGTGTAGTGGCTCATACCTTTAATCCCAGCAGTTTGGAAGGCTAAGGCGAGAGGATCTCTTGAGGCTGGAAGTTTGAAGTCAGCCTGGGCAACACAGTGAGACCTCATTGCTACAAAAAAATAAAAACAAAATAAAATAAATTTAGCCAAGTGTGGTAGTGCATGCCTCAGACTACTCAGAAAGCTGAGGCAGGAGGATCTTTTAAGCCCAGGAGTTTGAAGCTGCAGCGAGTTATGTTTTTTGCCACTACACTCCATCCTGGGTGACAGACCAAGACCTTCTCTCTTGAAAAAAAAAAAAATCTTCTAAATGTAAAGTAGAGCTTTTATGTATTTTAAAAATATATTACTATAGAAAATACTAACATGTTTCAGCAGCCTTTTGTTCATATTTTTATAATGCTGCTAATTCTATAGACAATTTGAGACCATATTAGAAGTGGAATGATCTTTATTTTATAAGATCATGTGTTATTCAGGGGATAAATTCATTTATTTTGTTTGAATTTAAACATAGTTCTAGGGCAACTTGAAATTTTCTTTGATTATTCTATATATATTAAAAACTGTTGTCCTGAATTTTTCTTAATGTGGCATGATCGCTTTTTTGTATTCTACTTTTTTCTTTCTTGTTTTTTACAGCTTCCTTTGTAAAGCAAATTACTCTGCCTGGAAATAAAATTCTGTCACTTCAAGCATCTCCTATTCTGAAAAATAAAATAAAGGAGAATGGAACAACGAGCTTCAGGTAAAAAGAATAGTTACACGTGGTTTAAGGAAATAATATATATTTTTTTAAAAGATGACAGAATACTATCATAATAAAATAGATTTATTGATGCCTTTTTAGAAAGCTAACAGTACTTTGTTGCGTATAATTTATACATAAACAGTAAAGTACACAAATCTTTTTCTTTTTTTTTTGCAGTTTTTGGCTGGGGCCAGGTTTGAACCCATGACCTTTGGTATATGGGGCTGGCACCCTATTCCTTGAGCCACAGGCAACACCCAAAAGTACACAGATCTTAAGTATAGCTCAATGAATTTTGCCAAATGTATACACTTGTGTAATCATAATTCAGATCAAGATACTAAATACATTCAACACCTTTATATACATTTCAAATTGATGATGTCTGTCTTCTGACTCCAGCAGCCATGTTATTATGTCCATCACCGTAGATTATTTTTGTCCATTCTTGAACGTCACATAAATGGAACATTACATTATTATGTAATTATTACTCTTTTACTTCTGAGTTTTTTACTCAGCATGTTTTTGATATTATCCACATCATTTTGACTATTAGAAGATTGTATTGCTGAGAAGTGTTTCATTTTATGAAATTAAATTTGTTTAGCATTTTTGCTAGTGATGAACATTGGTTAATTTCCAGGTTTTGGCAATCATATAAATCATCTATAAACATTCATATATAGAATTTTGTGTGAATATAGGTTTTTATTTCTCTGTCGTAAATATTTAGGAGTATGATTGCTGAGTCATTGAGTAAGTATGTGCTTATTTAAAATCCTGCTGAACTATTTAACAAAGTGACTAACATTTTGCATTGCTACCAGCAATGACAAGAGTTCTAATTGCTCTCCAACATTGTTAGCAAGTGCTACTCTCAGTTCTATTCATTTTTTTACCATTGGAATAGGTGTCTAGTAGTTATTATGGTTTTAATTTACATTTTCCTAACGATTAACGATATTGATCACCTATTGTTGTGTCTGTTTGTTATCCACATACCTTCCCTGGTGGAGTGTGGTTTAAATCTTTTGCGTATGTTTGCTTATTGCGTTGTTTGCATCTATATTTAAGATCCAAGTCCTTTTCCAGATAAATGATTTGGGAATGTTTTCTTCGTGGTGTATTTTTTCATTCTTTTAACAGTATCTTTCACAAGTTAGTCTCACTCTATTGCCCAAGCTAGAATGCCATGACAGCAGCCTAGCTCACAGAAACCTCAAACTTGTGGGTTCAAGTGATTCTCCTGCCTCACTCCCCTGAGTTCCTGGGACTACAGGCACCCTTCCCCTCCCAATCCCTGGCTAATTTTTCTATTTTTAGCAGAGCAGAGTCTTGCCCTTGCTCAGGCTGGTCTCAAATTCCTGAGTTGAAGTGCAGCATTATTGAAGAATTTGTCCTTCTTCAGTGATCTATAATGTCTTATGTGTCATATATGTAAGAGTCTTCTCTGAGCTATCCTTTTAGTTTGTTAATCTTTCTTTTTATCTTTATTTTATTGGTCAATTTTAAAATTTCTAATAGCATACTCTTAATTTATTAACATTAAAATTTTATATCTAGTAAAGCATGTCTCCTATTTGCCTTTCTTCAGTTTTCTCTCCTTCTTCCATTTCTTCTTGATTTCCTTGGCTATACTTGGGCTTTTGTTATTCCTTTACTTTTTTTTTTTTT